CTTTTCTTCTACCCCCCCCCCCCCCCCCCCCGCACTTCTGTCCTGCCGCCAGACCTCTCTTTTCTTGGACCAAAGAGTCCAGGAACATCTGTGCTCTGTGCTGGACCATGGATGTTGCCGGATCAGAGTGTCCTGGTTAAGGGAGGTACAACTTGTAGTTATAAAGTACTTAAATACATGAGAATTGTGGAATTAACTATTGGAAATAGAACAATTACTTTTAACAAAGCAACACTTTATTTAGAATATGCAAAAGAGCAAATATCTATTTCTAGCTCCTCTTATACGTTCATATCATCCCAGGTCAGCAGTAGTATTGCTTTGAGCCTATTGCACTCTGCAGAAAGGTAACTAATACAAAACATCTCTAAGAAAGCCTGACACTTTGTAAGGCACCAAATGTAAAGAAAATTTGCAACCATAAATTGTGGACTTGTTCTTCTTCTGACATTTCCGAGGGCTGCATACTCTCAGAAGGTCTGTTATACAAGTGAAGAAACTGGTAGAACTTTGGCTAAATTATGTCCAAAGTTACCCTCTTTGTTATCAGACTAATGCTGTTTGTTACTTCACTTGTACCATTCCAGGGAAAAGGGATAAGTTAAGGAGATAGCTTATCACAATATAAATATTTACATCTTTCGTCTAGAGGCTTTATATTCACCGCTGAAAGTTGAAAGCATCTAAACTTTCTGGTATCTTTGCATGCAAGCAATTGTAGTTTTTTCTTAGCATTTAGCAGAGGATGGGCTGCAGGCTACTAACAGAAATTTAGCAATAGAGAGAGAAAATAGTCTTGTAGCTAAGGCACAAAGTTATGACTCTGGAAGTTTGGGTTCTATCACGGTGCCCCAGATTTCCTTTAAGAAGTCATTTAATTGCACTGTGACTTGGCTTCCCATCTTTAAAATGGGGGTGGAGAGAGAATCCTCTTCTTTGCTTGGGTGGTGTGAAGGTAAGTTCATGTATGCATTCCAGGTGCTTAAATACTATTGTGTTGTGTATTATAGAAAAGTATATACATTTTTATAAAAAGGCTTGATCCTATAAAGTGGTTAAAACCAAACATGTGCTTATGTGTTTGGTGGATTGATAATGTAGTGTTAAGCATCTTTCATCGGTGCAATTAATGCTTTTCTTTTTAAATATCCTTATCAGATTTTCATGGATCTCAATAGTGCCAGCACCATTGTTCTGCAGGTCTTGACCCAAGCTACCAGTCAAGATACTTCTGTGCTGAAACCAGCTGAGGAACAGTTGAAGCAGTGGGAGACCCAGCCTGGCTTTTATTCAGTCTTGTTGGTAAGCTGGAGAGAGAAGTGCTATTCATTACGTGTCTGTATCTATATTTATATATTTTTTTCCTACTGTTTAATCTTTTCTTGTTACTTTTCACCTGACTAAATTTTGAAAAGGTGGGAAGGATACTTACTCCGTGAGGAGAAGGGGCAGAGGCACAGCAGGGAACTGGCGGTGCTTCCATCTTTGAAATGTAGCAAAAGCGAGCTCTTGCAGCATTTAAAAGCAGAAGCACTGTGGGGAGCCTGAGGCAATCTGGGGACTCAGTCCCCGGCTTTCCCCATGTTCCCTGCTTTTGAAATGTACAAGAGCCTCTCAGTCTTGTACATTTCAAAAGCAGGGAGTGAAGGACCAGCAGGGGACTACTTGAGTCCCCTTCTAGTTGTGCTCCCTGCTGCGCTTCTGCCTTTCAAATGTAGCAAGAGCCCTTATTGACTAATTGAAGAGTTGATGCAAATTACATGGACTATTCAATAAATTTGGATTAATCAACTAAACATCCTTAGAATGGGGGGCTCATGAGCCATAATTTTGCTGTAACAGAGCCACATGTCGCTTATGAGAAATATTGGCTTGCTGTCTACCAGTAAAATCATGCTTGATGATCTCTTACCTGATAGTATCAAAGTTCCTCAAAGGCCTCTTGCCCATTGCCATCCATGTTGGATTGATATGGCTGATATTTCTTATTTCTGCTTGTCTGTTTATATAAGTGGGATCTATACTAACACATATGAAAAAAAGATGTGTGGTTCTTCAAGATGTGTAGACCACATGGATCCTACAGCTTTCCCTCTGGCCTGCTTTGAGTCTTGGCTACCATAGATCTTGAATTGTGGGAAAACTGAGGGAAGGTTGCAGACACTGTGTCGTTTACATCCTCATTGGTAGTATGAAGAGGCACAGGGCACATGCGAAGCCTTGGTGGATTTTGCTCTTTAACAGAATCCAATCTCTCATGTATGAGGCTATATACCTAGAATGGAAATCTACACTGACATCTTGAAGAACCCCAGTTACTGTAGAATAGGCCCTGATTCTTTCTGCCTAAGGGAGTAGGGCCATCTGCTGAATCTTAGATGTTCCCTTTTTTCTTTCACCTGTACATACTTGGAACATGTGTTATAGGTGGGGCTGGTATCACTTGTTAAGGTTGACCGACTCTTTCCATTATAATTATGTTCTCATTGGATTATGTTTTGCTAGATTTTTACCATTTGGGCTAAGGATATAAAAGATAAACATTGGTCTTACCAGCATGCTTATCTGGTAACTGGTTAACCAGAAGGCTGGGATGGTAAGAGCAGCCCACCCACCCAGGGTGGCCCGGCTGGCAGTGGGCCTGGCAGGGCCGGAGCAACCTATCGCCCATGGCGTGATGGAACTGGAGCATGCTAGCCAGCAGGACCCCTGCCACTGGGGCCCACCAGGTCTCCACAGTTAACCAGTTAAACGATTACAACTATATCATTTAGTTAACTTTTTTTATTGGGTATTTATTAGGGATGTAAAATTTCGCGTATTTCATTAATTGAATAGTTGATACAATTTGCATTGATGATTTGATTTGTTGATAAGGGTGCTTCTGCCTTTAAAGTGTAACAGTAGCCCCAGGGCTGTTTCTGCACTTCAAAGGCAAAAGTGATTTGGGGCGCATGGGGCCAGAAGAGGACTCAAGCAGTACCCTGCTGGCCCTGTGCTCCCTGTGGCATTTCAAAGTAGCAGCTCTGAGTCCCCAGCTGACACTGAGCTCCATGTGGCACTGCCTCTTGGAAACGCCACGGGGAGTCTGGCGTCCGGCTCCATGCAGCATTTCAAAGAGGCAGTGTCATGTGCAGCCCAGGGTTAGCGGGGGAGTCCCCCCCCCACCTCCTCCACTGACCCCAGGCTCCACATGGCGCTGCCACTTTGAAGCACTCTGTCCTCTTCCCCCACCCCTCTTGCTATCTCTTTTCTGATAGATGAAACAATCTAGGAAAGTTGTTGCAGTCTCAGAAGCATCACTTAAAGGTCTGATCTTCAGGTTTGACTTTAGATTCTAAGGAATACAGTAATTCAAATCTAGCTAGCTATTTTTATTTTCCCATGATGTTACTAAATGGAGTTGCTAAATCAATTTACTGCACTGAAGTTTCTTCTGGATGAGATCTTACAAACACAGGTCACATTTGCTGTGTATATACATTAAAGATGCCATGAGGGAAATGTATCACTCATTTTTATTATTATTATTATTGTTGGAAGAAAGGGGAAGTTGTAACGTGGGGATTCTTGTAGACCAGACCAAAAAGTAAATGATGTTTTAACTTTTTTTCTTTATAGAATATCTTTACAAATCATACGCTGAATGTAAATGTAAGGTGGTTAGCTGTTTTGTACTTTAAAAATGGAATTGACCGCTATTGGAGGCGTGTAGCACCACAGTAAGTTGTATATTTCCTTTTTTACATGTTAAAGTAGATTTTGTTGCAGTTTCACAACTCTTAAAAATTTTAACTGGTAGGAGTAAAGAAATGTGTGCCAGGGAAGTATAGACATGAGTCATACTGATTACTGAGCACTAGAAGGGATGAGAAAAAGCCAAATAACTCATAAATGAAATAGTTTATTCATACTTTGGCATGCACATTTGGTCTGTGGTGTGTTTGCTTTTATGGACTGTATTATACAGTCTAGTTATGTTTATTAGATTTTGTGGTAGGCACTGAACATTACTAAGACTTTCAGATAGCAATGTCAGACATTTGAAAATGTTAAAAGCTCTTTTGGATATTTCATCGGTACTCTTAGCCTGAATGAGTCCAGAGCTTGTACTGACGTGTGTAAAAACAAGGAGTCTGGTGGTATCTTAAAGACTAACAATGTTATCACAATAAGCTGCAACTCACTTCATCAGATGTATGAAGTGAAAGACAAAGGAAACAGATAATAGGAATACACACTTGAGAGTGTTACATTAGAGGTAATGCAATCAGGGTGGATATGGGAAAAAAAGGTGAGAATAGCTAAAGTGGAGAGCTCATCATCTGATAAAGCTCACAAAAGCACATGATACTATATATTTTTGTTAGTTTCTAAGGTGTCACAGGACTACTCATTGTTTTTAAAGTTACAGACTAACTTTAAAAGCTACCCCCTCGGAGACTTTCTAAAGTGGAAAATTATTTTTGGTAATGAGGTAGCCATTTCCAGTCCCCAGTCAGACCCATTTTGATGGTGTCAAATTTGTATATGAATTCCAGCTCAGCAGTTTCATGCTACAATGTGAAACTGCTGTGTTGGAATTCATATGCAAATTTGATACCATCAGAATTGGTCTGAATAGGGTATGGAAATGGCTCGCTCATTACCATGAGTAAGGGTACGTCTAGACTACATGCCTCTGTCGCCAGAGGCATGTAGATTAGGCTACCCGACACAGTAAAATGAAGCGGCGATTTAAATAATCGCCGCTTCATTTAAATTTACATGGCTGCCGTGCTGAGCCGACAAACAGCTGATCAGCTGATCAGCTGTTTGTCGGCTCAGCACGGCAGCCATGTAAATTTAAATGAAGCGGCGATTATTTAAATCGCCGCTTCATTTTACTGTGCCGGGTAGCCTAATCTACATGCCTCCGGCGACAGAGGCATGTAGGCTCGCAGCCATGTAAATTTAAATGAAGCGGCGATTATTTAAATCGCCGCTTCATTTTACTGTGTCGGGTAGCCTAATCTACATGCCTCTGGCGACAGAGGCATGTAGTCTAGACATACCCTAATTTTCTACTTTAGGTATTCTCGCCTAATTCACATCTATCTTTCTTTACATTAGCTCTGATGTAACAGTCCCATCCCTGTCTGTTTCCTTGTCTTTCACTTCACGCATCTGATGAAATGAGTTACTAATGAAAGGTTATGCCAGGGGTCAGCAACCTTTCAGAAGTGGCATGTAGAGATTTAACTTATTCACTTCTATTTATGGGTCTACCTGCCATTGATACGTCTTAAAGTCAATAATAGTCCTACTTACAGCAGCCTCATTAATAAATAAAGATGCAGATCTTACGTTTAATGTGATCCTTGACCTTGCTTTTCCTTGTTGAATCCTGCGATCCTGGGCTTGTAATTTGATCTTTTGAGCAGCACATAAGCCTCTGAGTGTTCAGTTGTTAACCAGCTCTGGGAGGGACAAAGAACTAACTTCGCATGTGAAAGTATCTGTTCACAGAGGCCTGTAGATCCCAAGGCTGAGAGCAGTGAAATCAGATTTCACAGGCAGGGAATTCCAACAAGTCATGATAGAGACCTCATGATCTGTGTTGGTAGCCTAAAATGTGTGCTGCAGATCCCTAAACTTTCAGACCCATGAGTCTGAGCGTTGTAATTCAATGAGCTGCATTTCAAAATCCTCAACGCCCATACACTGAAACACCGTCAAGTCCATATCGCTGGTATCAAAATTGTCTGATTTGATTAGAAAGGAAAACATTGGGCAAAAACATTGCAAATTGACAGAAAATTCTGATGCGAATTCTTGCATGGACATTCTAATCTTAGCAACAGTGGGAGTGCAATGTTTCAATAGTTCTTTAAGATGTTGAAAATAGCAGTCGAGGTGTCAATGTCCAAAATAAAAATGGCAAGTTTCGTAGCGAATGCCTTCCATGTTTCAAAAAGACCCATAACAGTTTGGCCTGCACCCTGGAGACAGAGGTTGAGTTCGTTTAGATGCATGGTGATGTCATTTAGAAATATTAGTTGTGTGACCTGTTTGTCGTCATCCAATTTGGGGTAGTTGTGACCTTTTTCTGACAAAAAGATCTTAATTACATCAAGACAGTCCACAAAGCATGTCAAAACCTTCCCACGGCGTAACCAATGAACGTTGCTGTGAAGTGGAATGTCCTTGTAAGCACTTTCCATGTCCTCAAGCAGAACTTAAAACTGCTGATGCATCAAGGCAGATAGAGCAACAAGAAAATTCACGATCTTCGCCACTTATAGTCATTACATTATTAAGCTCAGTGTTAGAAATCTTGGCACAAAGATTTTCTTGAAGAATAATACAATGAAAATTTACCAGTGGGTGGCCAATTTCATCTTCAGGGGCACAGTCAGTTGTCACCGAATTTTTTTTTTCTGATATCAATTCCTCTTTCCTCAGACTATAGTGACTACAGCTTCAAAACTGGTTGGACTAGGGATGTTAAATTGTGATTAATCAGCTAATTAAGTAGTGGATGGAATTTCCATCAACTACTCTATTAGTCAATAAGGGAGGGGCGGGGTGCTCGTTACCACCGCTACTGCTCTGCAGTTTAAATGTAGTAAGTGCTGGGCATGCAGTAGCCCGGCTCCTACTACATTTAAACTGCAGAACTTCAGCGGGGTTAGCTACAGTGGCGGTGTGAACTGAGGCTAAGCACTTCTGGCTTGTGCTGCCCCCGGGAGCTGACCCCGCTGTGCCTCTGCCTTGTAAATGTAGTAAGAGCCCAGTGGCTCTTGCTTTTTAAAAGTAGTAAAGCCGCAGTGCCACTGCACCTCTGACTCCCATTCTTCCCCTTCTGCACACCGCTGAGACGGTGCTGGGGGAAGCGGCTTTTAAGCCGGCTCCCCCAGCATCAGCTCCTGCTTCCTCCTCCCTTGCTGCCTTTCATATAGAGGCAGCGGGGTGGAGGAGAGGGGGAGAATGCAAGTTTTTGACTTGACTACTTGATAAATCTATGCTTATCAGGTAATCAACTATTTGACTACTCTTTTACATCTCTAGGTTGGACACCATGGCTTTTTGCAATAGGCTCAAAATCATATGGATGGGCAATTACCATCCAGAAGATGTCACTGTTGCATCATATGAGCTGCTTATAAGTTCTGAAAAAAATGTTCAGAGTCTCTTTAAGTGTTTTGAGACATTTTATTAGCTGTAACTATTAATGAGCCTTTTTTTTGCTTTATTTCTCCTTCCTCTGCTGAGCATTTGACAGTTAGAATGATTAATACATTCAAGATAAACCTCAAATATATAACTTGACACATCAGTTTTTCAATAGCTTTTCAGCTGTTGGCCACATTTGTTTATTATAAGATATTATTGTCTGAAGATTTTTCTCCCGAATCATCCATCTTCCCCTACTTGACCCTGTAATAGAACCCCCCAATCCTGAATACTTCACAGTGTGTTTATTTATATAATGGATGAGTTGGGTGTGTATCTTTATGAGATATGACTATAGTGGAAATGAGTCAAAAGGAAATTTGGCACATTAGGTAAGTTCCAGTTATATAACACACGATGTAAATGAAAAAATTATACAGATAATTGCTTTTTTTATGCTTTGATTTTCTGAGGAGTATACTGTTGTAATAGGTACTTTTAAAATTGAGGTTAAATTTCTTAACTGTATGCACAGTAGCCTAAAAATATCAGAAAATGTTACTCAGAAGTGTAAGTTTTTGTGATTGTGATATTTTTAAGACATACTTGATACGTCTAACCCAGTGGTTCTCAAACTCATTCATTGCACCCCAGCTATTTCTGACAACAAAATTACTATATGATCCTGGAGAGTAGGGGGATGGAGCATGAGTCTCATGGCTCTGGGTTACAGGAAAGGGGACTAGAACCCAAATCTGAGCTCCACCGTCTTGGGAGAGGGTATAGCTCAGACTTCAACTTCAGCTCCAGGTCCCAGCAAGTGTAATACTGTCCCTGGCAACCCCATTAAAATGGGGATGCAGCCCACTTTGGGGTCCTGACCCAGAGTTTGAGAACCATTGATCGAATACATTTTTTTTTTTTAAATAATTGTCTGGTTTTTTAAATGGTGTTTTGATTAGGGACGTAAATGGTTAACTGGTTAAACAGTAAGTATCACCCTTACCAGGTGATGCTTACTGGTAACTGGTTAACTGAAGGCTTGGCAGGCTGAAGCAACCCACCCACCTGATGCACCGTGGGAGGGGGGAGCAGCTCCCTGCCCACAGTGTGGTGGGCCTGGCTCAACAGGAGCAGCCCGCAGCCTGTGGTGTGGTGGGCACAGCCCAGCCCGAGCATCCCTTGCCTGTGGTGGGCCTGGCCTAATCTGGCTGAGTCTGCCGCACCATACCATGGGTGTGGGGGTGTCACCCTAGCCCAGCTGGGCTCCCCGCCCAGAGGATCACAGCTAAGCAGTTAAATGGGGTTTTACATCCATAGTCTGAATACTTCAGATCAATAATTGGAATTATTGTTTCTTGAAATGATTTTCCAGTTTTATAGAGCTACTAGAAGACTTATCTGGTATTGCTCAGGTATTTGAGGGCAGGGGACTTGGACTGTGGTGGTGCAAGAGTCAGGACATGAGCTTGAGAATATGGGTAGCTCAGTGCAGGAGGCTGGGAGTGTGGGAGTGCTGGAGTTAGGGTTGGGTGTGAGGAGGGGCTCAGGATAGGGGGTGAGTAGA